AAAAGAAAAAGGAAATGAATGTAAACATATAGAATACACAAATTATGATAGAAATACATACGGAAATACAATACCATCAGAAGTTAAATCACTTGGAGATGAATGTTTTGAATATTCTTGTGTACTAACTAGTATAGATATACCATTAGCCATTACTAAATTAGGAAATAATTGTTTTAGAGTCTGCTCAACACTAAAGTCAATTAACATTCCAACTAGTGTTAGTGAAATAGGGAACACGTGTTTTAGTAGTTGTTCATCATTATCATCAATTAACATTCCAACTAGTGTCAGTGAAATACCAAATTATTGTTTTTGTTGGTGTACATCATTAACATCAATTAATATACCACTATCAGTTAGTGTTATAGGGTATGAATGTTTTTATGAATGTAAGTCATTAAAATCAATTAATATACCATCATCAGTTAGTAAAATAGAATATAATTGTTTTTATGGATGTTCATCATTAAACAATATGGATATAGATGACTTGAAATTCATAAGTAAAGAAAGAATATTTATGAATGAACCAGTGTTAATTAGTTTTGAAATACCAAATAATCTAAACGAAATCAATAGAAAGCTCATTGAAAAGAAAGGTATTAACGAATTTACTCTTCCAACTACAATTACTAAATTAGGAGATAGTTGTTTTAAAGAATGTTCATCATTGACAACAATAAATATACCAACACCGATTAGTGAAATAGGGTATCATTGTTTTAAAGAATGTTCATCATTAACATCTATTAATTTACCACCAACAATTACTAAATTAGGAGAATGGTGTTTTGATGGATGTACATCATTAATATCAATTAGTATTCCATCAACAACCAGTAAAATAGGAGAAGGTTGTTTTAATTTGTGTTATTCATTAACATCAATTGACATACCATCATCTGTTAGTGAAATAGGAAATTACTGTTTTAGTAAGTGTAGATCATTGAAATCAGTTAATCTGCCACCAACAATTAGTGAAATAGGGTATGAATGTTTTAAAGAATGTTCATCATTGACATCAGTTGATATTCCAACATCTGTTAGTGAAATAAGAGACAGTTGCTTTAGAGAATGTAAATCATTAAAATCAATTAATATTCCAACATCTGTTAGTAAAATAGGAGGTTGGTGTTTTTATGGATGTAAATCATTAACATCTGTTACTATTCCATCATCAGTTAGTAAAATCGGAAATTGGTGTTTTTATGGATGTTCATCATTAAAAGAAGTTGATATTCCAACATCAATTAGTAAGTTAGGAAATAACTGTTTTGATGGATGTTCAGAAGGGTTAAAAAAGAATGAAGTTTTAAGAAATATATATTTTAAGAATGAAGGGTCTTGTGTCATTGTTTAATTAAACAAGTTATTTCAATGAATTTATTGGTTTGTGATAAGAATAAATGTAAAAAGAAATTTAAATTTAATAAAGAAATGGAAGATGATAGTAACAAACAAATTGGAATTGAATGATATTCAAAGAATTGGTATTATGAAAAGTTATGATAAAAATGGTTAAAGAAATTTAACTAAAGCCAAATGAAAATAATCATGAAGTAATGAAGTAAATTTACAATTCAATAAGATTGATGGATTGTTTCATTATCACATATAACAAGTAATTATGAAAAGAATACACTTCATTGAAGAGAAGAAATTCAATAAAGATTTGATTGTTATTTGTTTTTCATCAACAAAAAGAAACAAAATAACTTTAATGTACAACATAAAATAGTAATTAACAGATAAAAAATAAAGAAGGAAATGATTATAAACAATTAATAACTCAATTATGATTTACTTACTATTTAACTCATCAATACATTAAGAGTAAATAAGTCAGTTCTTCAATACACATGATTTCTATTGAAATATTGTTTTTTCAATTATACTTGAATTAAATAGTCATTATTTAATTTGTTATCTTAATCTTAATTTGAATTAAATGAATATTAATACTCTTTATTGTTTATAATGTTATTTATGTTGAATATATCAATAACTATGATTATGATTTATCTCCTTTATCTTCAACACAAATTAAAGAATCCATTTTCTTAATAACACACCATGTATTCAACACAAATCAATTATGAACAAATATACTTGTATGTTGATAAATAATACTACCATCATAATAATAAATAAATAATATTCCATATCAATCACTCATAATAAATAATAATAAATAATAACCAGTATTGAGTGGCATGTTATCTCACTAAATGCATGCATGACCAGATAATAACTGATGATTCATATTTTGGATATACTGTTCTATTTAATGTTGTATCTGACATACTACCTTCGGGTACAACGAAGAAATAGGTATAACAAATAAAATAACATGATAATCAATAATAATTGAGGAAATGATTCAAAAATAATGAATAAGATGAACTAGAAAATGAATAATTGAACTATTTAATGGAAGATAGTAGATCATCAAATTATAGAAGAAGAGAAATGAAACAACTTGATATGGTTTATTTAATGAAAGTAGCACTTCATGTCAAAGACATGAATGACATTCAAAACATTGAAATGATTAACAAGAAATGTGGAATTGCAATTAACTCATTGAAAGTTAATCCGTGGTTTACATCAGAAAGAGATATAAACAAGTTTTGTAACATATTTAATCCACCAACATGTAATTGTAATTTACTTCCTGTTGATGAATCAGTATTAATGAAAGTTGAGAATATTAGAAATTATGAATTAGACAGTTTCTGTCGCACATTAAAAATAGTAAATGCAGACAATCAATTTAATCCACAATATCAAAAAATGACAGAAGAAGAAAAGGAGAGAATGGCTAAAATTATTCAAAAAGTTGAATCAATGACATATTTTTCAGATATTGTAGAAGAAATGATTGAACTTGTTGTTCAAAACATGAAGAAAGGAATTAAAATAAGAACTTATGAAGTTTGTGCAAAGAAATTTGATGAAATCTTTGATAAAATGAAAATAGAAGAATCAATGTATCCAAGTGAAATGATAATTTATGGAAGAATAAACAATAATTGGATTAAGGCTAGAGAGAATAAAAACATTATTATCATTTGCGAAACAAGAGGTCTCATTGAACAAGAAAGTGAAATAAGTATACCAAAAGGTATTACAATTTATTCTTCAAGTATTCTTTTGGTGAAACCAAATAATGAAACAAATATTAAATTTGTTAGATCCAAGTGATTCATTATTTTCAAATGTAAAAGTAAATGTATTTAGTCAACCCAGATTTAATGATATGCCTAGTGTTACAGTGAGTATAGAAGATATTATTAATGAAGAGAATAGAAAGAAGGTTTATAAGATTCTTGATGATCTTTATGTTAATTCTATTTTATTTACCCCTCCAAATCAACAAACAACTAGAAATAGTACCAACTCACTACAGAATAAAATACCACAATTACCTGAATATATCAAATACATTTGTGTTCAAGCAAGAATGCCAAATTTAATAATCGATGACAAACAATTGGAGTATTTAGAAGTAGGTGTGTGTAACTCAATTATCGAACTTAAATCAATAAACAATTTAAAACAGTTAAAACTACATGGAGTTAATAAACTAAAGATAAATCAAATGAACGAAGAACAAGAAATTACAACAACAAACAACAGAAAATACTGGAAAGACATACAAGAAAATATAAGTACATTCCCAAATCTTGAAGAACTTCAATTAGTTAGTTGTTCTAATTTAAATATTAGTTTAATGTCAAATAAATTAAAGAGTGTTGAAGTAATTAATTGTAGAGAATGTCAAATTAATATTAAATCAGATTGTATTGAAAGATTGAAATTAGAAGGAAATAAACAAACACAATTCAAATTATCAACAAATAAATCAAATGATATTTGTATTAAAGAAGGTGATACTTTCACATTAGAAATAGAATCTAATAATGAACAAAATATTGAAATAATAGAAGGAAAACAGATTAATGTAAAATCAAAATGTCCAATTAATAAATTAATAATAGTAGAATCTTATGAAGTGAATATTACAGGAAATGAAAAATGTAATACAATGAAAGTAGTTGAATCTACAATCAATGAAATTGATATCAAACCAAAGAGAATTATATTTAAATTAATTGAAGAATACATTAAAGTATCATTGAAAGAAGCAGAAGAGATATATATTGTATCAAGAAAGAATAT